TTCATTTCATCTGGACTTTAAAGGTCCAGTGTGTAGGATTTAGTGCTATTTAATGTGAAAGGCCTTATCTAAAGTGTTTGGTTTGTCCGTTCTGGGCTACTGTAGAAACATGGTGGTTCATCATGGCGGAGTCCGTAGAAGAGGACTTTCTTTACCTGAAGTATTGTCAGTACAGATTAGCAGACAGTGTTGGACAAGATTTTAGTTGAGTCCATTCAAAGCTGAGGAAGGAGAGTTAACATCTGAATTACCATATTTATATATGTTTTTTATATATATATATATATATATCTTCATTTTGCACATTTATAACCAAAAACCTACTAGTGCCATTACCACTAGCCTCTGCTGTCCTTAAGTGTAAGTAACAAATGCTAACATACTAAACCAAGATGGTGAACTTGAGCAACACGCAAGCTTCGCTACCGTGAGCATGTTAGCATGCTGACATTAACATGTAGCTCACAGCACCTTTGTGCCTAAGAACAACCCTTACAGAGCTGCTAGCGTAGCTAATTTTGTTGAAGGTCAAAGAGGGATGCAAAGGGAAATGTTTGGACTGTACAGTGTATGGGACTGCATGGTCCAGGAGGTCATAATGGTTAGTAGCAGCTGTTGGGTGAGGAAGGAGAATCAGGTATGAGCATTAGTGTGAATGTACCTGATGTTTGACGGCCCCAGGTTCAGACAAAAGGTTGTTTCCAAGGATTAATGGACTGCAAGTAAAGTAGTAAAGTTTTGAGCAGGCTGACTACTAATGTGTTGGGGCTACTCTTTAAAGGAAGGAACTCAATACTTGATTGACACGCCTTTAATTGATTTATGTGAGTGGGTGTTCCTTTCCGGCGGGTATTTCCCTCACCGCACTGCTATGGCCTTTAAATTCACACCGCGTCTCAAGGTGGAGTGGCAGAGAGAGGGAGAAAGGTCTACCAGGGACATATTGATTATTGCCTCAGAGGATTAAAGGAGGGTGAGGACAAACAGGTTGATCATATATGAGCCTGACAATCACACAAAACTGCCCGGCTACTGTCAAATAAACATCTCAAATAAGGTTGGATGTGAGCTCCAATCAATACTGAACTTAAGAAAAAAGTAAATCGTAGAAAGGGGTGAATACTGGGGATAAGTGGCACCCTATTATTGTCTTTTCAGTCTGACGGCTAAATGGTTCGTTATTTATGCCCACTGGAAAACATTCAGCAACTATTTAGACTACTTAGTGATGTTCAAAATGCAGCAGTTTGGGCTCCTGCAGGGTTTGATTGTAGGCCATTAGAAGACAACTTGGGGCTGTTCAGACCATCCAGCAGCCAATTTTAGAAAATAATATTTTTTAATTATTTATTCAATGGGGATGTCTAATGAGCAGTTTAATTTTAACAGACCCCGTTAGAAAGCTACAAATAACAAGATTCTGTATGGGACATTCATCCCTTTGACAAAAAAAGAATTTCCTTATTTACATTATCAACTATTTTCTTAATCAATTTATTGATAGTTTTTCTCTATACCCATTTAAATTCCCAGAGCCCAAGGTGACTCTTCAAATATCTATTTTTTTGAACAGTCCAAAATCTAAAGATATTCAGTATACTATCATATGAGGCAATAAAAAGTGTTTATTCAATTATCAAAATATTTGCTGATTCAGTCTCTACATCATTGTTTCACCTCTGCATGTTCGTATCTAGATTACAATCTTAAAGGTCCAGTGTGAAGGATTTAGTGGCATCTAGTGTTGAAGTTACAGATTACAAATAACTGAACACTGCTCGCATCTGTATTTGACATTTGACCTGGGAATGAGAACGAGCTGTGAAACGTGTAGGAGGAACTATGGTGGCTGTGAAAACTCACAAAAAACACAAAAGTTGCTGTCTACAGCCAGCGTTTGGTTTGTCCCTTCTGGGCTACAGTAGATACATGGTGGTTCAACATAGATAAAATAACTGCTAAAAAACACAGTGAGTCCTGATTATACACTAATGAAAACATACCTTTTGAATATTATATTTAATTTCTGCCAATAAATACTCCTAAATGGACCTTACATTTGCGAACATGAACATAACTCCTAAATGTTACACACTGGACCTTTAAGTCACTGAAATCAATGCCTACTGTATCTCAGTGAATGTTAATCATGTTAACTGACCACATTTTTCTATTCTCAGACTAGAATCCTGAGGTAACAATATCATTTTATACCAGTGGACTGGGTATATGGCTCTACTCATGATAGTGTGTGTTTCTTTACCAGCAAGTGTGTAAAATCTGTCAGGCAGGCGTCATTGTCACCCCATGCACAAGTTGAAGACCATCCTTACTTGTGAAATATCTGTGCTGCACAGAATGGGCAGATTCCCGTCTATTTCCACTTCAGCAGGATTTTTAGAGACCGGAGGGTTTCTTTTCAGTAATCGACTCAAATGTGGTGCAGTTTCCAGCTTTCCAAGCAGCAGGGGACCAGTGAATGAAGAGCTTTCCAGGTTCATCTGTTGATGACTGTTTTGATGAACTCACTGTAATAGATTTGTTGGACAGGAGCTGATGCCTTTATTGATCGGTTCCACTCGGGGAGAATGTTTCAGGTACAGGTTAGGTTTGGGGAGACACGTTCAGAGAAGGGAACCTGTGGTTGACTGACTTCATGTATTATGCATGTAATCACCCTGGTCTGTATAACTGACAACAAGAGGTGGATCAGTAATACAGCTTTATGGCCTCCCTAGGTAGAGCAATGTCACCTCAGGACGTTTTCCCTCTGTTGTCTTATTGCGTAGTCCAGTTCAGTCTAGTTCAGTCTAGTGCAAGTTAGTGCTTCACTTGTTTGTTTAACTGCATAAGGTATTATCTCCTTCTGCATGTCGACATTTTGTTATCTCCCTCCTTTTTGTGGTGCTAAGCCTGGAGACAGAGTTTGTGCATCAGGGACATATTGCCCTAAATTTATTTGATGTGCGGTCCTGTACTCTGTCTGGCACCCCACACTATGAACCACTTGAATATGATATATAGCAATACCGCCAGGTTCACTATTGATTTAGGTTTCTGCTGGCCTTAGATTTGGGCTGGAGTCTAAATCTCCGGCCAGGGCTACCAATCTAAATGACTTAAGTTTGGCATGCGGAACCTGCACTAAGAGCTCCTTAGGTGGAGTTTATTGTTTTGGCATCTTTGCAGATAGATCTGCAACCTGTTTGATGTGATTAAAAGAGGTGCAGTAGCTCT